GGGTCCGGCCCCCCCCGGCCCCCCGAGCGGGGGGCGATGCACTACAGCGGGAACCGGGCAGGGACGGGGGCACCAGAGCCAGCTGGTGGGGTGGGGTCCAGCCCCCTGCGAGGGCGGGCTGAGGGGTACAGGGGACAGGACCAGCACACCAACACGCCCAGAGGGAGAAGCCTCTTTACTGTCGTACAGGAAGGTCCAGGCACCAGCGCAGGCTCAGCCCTTTGGCCCGTGGAGCCGCTGCAGTGTCCCCCCGTCTCACCAGGGGATGGCAGGACGCCCCCAGCCCCTCCGCGGGGCTGGACGTGGCGGGTGGGTTCAGCCCCCACGCTACGCTCCTCCCCGGCACAGCCGGCTCACTGGTGGCGCGTGATGCCAGGACATGGACCCTGGCCTCCCGTCCTGCCGGTGTGGGATCTGTGGGGTCAGCGTGTGACGGTCAAGAGGAGCACGATCCCCTCACAGGCTGCGCTCCTGGCTCAGGCGCTGCTGTAGGAGGTCCCAGGCCTTCTCCACCTGCCAGAAAACCCACATGGAGCAGCACCTCAGAGCCCGCGGCAAAGCCAAGGACAAGACGAGCAGCGCCATGGCATGGGCAGGAGCGTCACACGAGGGTCCCACGCTTCCTGTCCCTTCCCTGCTGCGTTTACATCCCCGAATTCATCCCTCGCGGCTGTGCCTAGAGGCAGCCTCGGTGGTGAGCAGCATGCCCAGGCACACCATGTGTGACCCAGGCACAGCACTGAGCCCTCTGGTCCCCGTCATGGTCACCCGCCTCCCCCTTCACCACCCGAGACAGACCCCAGTGCTGCAGCCAGCCCAGGGCTCACCTGCTTGCGGGTGACGTCCGGCTCCCAGAGCGTGCACAGCACCACCTGAGACTGCTCCACCCTTTGGCTGTTGGTCATCTGGCTCTGCAGCCGGCTGCGAGCAGCCTCCTCGCTCAGCCCGTCCCTGGCCATGATGCGCTTCACAGCCTGGCGGGACCAGAGGGGACACTCAGGAGCTCGGAGGGGAAGCTGAGAACCAGCCCCAGAAGCAAGCAACAGGCCAAGGGGCATTGCCCACCTCCTCCTCCGGGATGATGGCCGTCCACACCTCATGGACCATGTCTTGCCAGCCAGCCTCCAGCAGCACAGCAGCGTCCAGCACGCACACGGCCTTTCCTATGGAACGAGGCCATTCCTCATTTACCTGGCAATCGCAAGGCAGCGCGACTGCTCCTCGGGGTGCAACCCAGCCAGTCCACTTACGGTCGTAGAGTCACGCCTTCCTGCAAACTGGCAGCACAGACGCCTTACTGCTGAGCCAAAGAACCTCACGTGGAAAAGACAGCAGCAGGCAAGAGGCTATGTTTGCTTAGAGGGCACACCTGGGATGGCAGGTCTCCCGGGCACAGCAAGCCAATGCCTTCAGCCAAATGCCTATCGAGCTACCAACAGCATCTCCCAAGAGCTGGAAAAATTCTGCTCCCAGAAGGAATACACACCACACCCACTGCTGGAGCACTACACCAGAAACGAACCTGAAGTCAGTGGGAAAGAGAAAGCAACCTCCTCCCTCCTTCAGAGCAGGAAGCTTGAGGTAAGCCTGTCCCAGCTGCCGGCCCAGCTGAGTGGAGAGGTTTGCTCAGAGATGTGCTAGTGAAAATCCCCAGCAAGCTGCCCAGCAGAGAAGAGGGGGGTCTGAGCATGGAAAATACTCACGGTGCTGCCAAAAGCAGCCGATTCCTGGGGGCTCTCGGTCATGATGTGCTGCACAAGACCATGCACCCACCTCCCACCTTTGTGCTGCAGTGGGAGCTGCCCCGGTTACCTTGAGCATCTGCCTCCCCGATCTGCTCCTTGACCATCCGGGCCATCTCAGGCCACACAATGTCCGTGAGACTCTTCAGCCGCTCCTAGAAAGGACGACGGGATTTGGTTACTTGCCCTTAGAACCCCCGGGCAGCCAACAAGGGAATCGCTGGTAGCAGCAGCAGTCACAGAGGGCACCCAGAAAGAACCTGCTAAAGCACGGGGCATGGACCCGGCCCATTGCCTACTCGCTAAGTGCGACGAAGGAAAGCTTCCACGCTGGCCAGGGGCTCCCATGCCCACTGATGGGGTTGAGGCTCTTTTTCCTATTATTTTCCTTGCCCTGCCAGGCACAGCAGAACCTTGGTCTCTGCTGCGAGAGGTGCTTTGCAAAGACCCGCCCCGCAGCACAGCAAGCTCCCCACGCAGCAGCACCCACGTGAGACCTGTCTGTCCCAGGGGAACCCCTCGAGCTGCCTTCACGCTTGGGCTGGGGCAGCCCGCAGGACCTGAGCGAAAGGCTTAGCACTGGCCCGGCCAACGAAGCCAGGTGCAGAGGGTCAGGTTCAGCTGCCGAGTCACCGAGCCCCAGTGGGTACAAGCCCAAACCACGCAAGGGTCAGAGAGCACCAGCTCCGCATACGTCAGGGCTGTGGCTCCACGCGGGGTGAAGGACAAGCGTGGGACAGAGGGGACGGGGATGGGGACGGGGAGGCAGCAGCAGCTGCCAGGACGAGAGAAGTGTGTCCAGCACGGCTGCTGACTCGGCTACAGAGACAGGATCTGTGTCCTGCCCCGTCTGTACGTCACTGCCAGAAAGTACAGTCAGGAAGGCATCATCACCTCAAAGGGCTGAAAAATAAAAATCCTCAACAAAGATGGAGAGCTCCCCGCTCACGAGATGAAATATTGCCAGTCCCTGTGCTGCTCTTACCTGGTTTCCAAACACTTTGGCCCCAAGGACTTTCCTGTTAATCGTCCCATCTTCATTCAAGATTTCTGCAAGACAGAAGCAGAACAGGCTTGGGAGGAATGAATCCAACTCACTTCCCTGCGGCAAGCCTAGGTCAGAGTGGAAGGATTTCAGCACAGGGCTCTCAAAGGGACCCAGAAAGGTCCCTTACTCCAGAAAAGGACAGGGAAGAGCTTTTCCTAGACAAACGGCAGCCTGGTTTAGCCTTCCACGCCAGCCAGTTTACAGTAGCTCTGACATGGGACGCGCAAGACTTGGGGAAAGCAGTGGTTTGCCCAGCTCGGGCCCAACCATCACCAAATCAGCTACAGAACCCCCATCTGGGTGGTGTGGAGCCCAAAATCCACAGGGGAAGGAGGGGAGCGCAGGCCAGGACGGCTCCCTGGGACACTAGGACAATGGCACACCCCTCCCTCCTCTTCCTCCTCCCAGTCTTCCCGGCAGCCTTCGGTGGCTCTACCTGCCCCAAAGGCCGCCACCACCTGCTCGTAGGCAGGGCCACTGGGGACATAGACGGCATGGCCCAGCTTGTCGGCGTCGATGAGGAACGCTCCCAGGTGCCCCAGGAGTTTGGCAATGGCGGTTTTCCCACTCCCGGTTCCTCCAGTCAGGCCGATCACGTACGGGCGCGAAGGCAAGGTAGGGTCTTGCTAAGGGAAGAAGGAAAGCTGTTGCCAGCAGACGGAGGATGCAGGCTCTGCTGGAGAAGGATCCCGACCGCCCGGCCTGGAGACGGGCGTGAAAGGTCCTGGCCCTGCAGAACAGGGGCCTGCTCCTGCCAGATGCCAGTACAGGCAGCAGGCAGGCAGTCCTCCAAAACTTGTCCCCCTGCAGCAGGGGGATGAGCTGGCTCTTTAGCTCCCAAGGCTGCCACCCCTCCTCCTGGGCACACTGTTCCCATTGCAGCTCGTGGCTCTCCAAGCGCCCCCCCTCACCCGCGGGGGCCGCAGCAGCGTCCCCAGCAGCCTCTGTCGGAGGCTGGAGGAGCTGATCTTCTCCTCCTCGTTCTGACTGTGGTCGGGGTCCTTCATCAACAGGATCTCGTAGAGAGCCAACTTGGGAAGCCCCTGCCGAGAGAAGAGAGCCCCGAGAGCCGTCAGCCCTGGCAGCTGCAGGGACACAGCAGAGGGAAGGGGGCTCAGCGGGAGGTCAAGGCCTGAACAAGCAGCACAAACGAGGCCGCGGCCGCCCCCAGCGTCCCCACGGGGCAGCTCCGTCCCTGCAAGGGGCATGTTCCCGGCAGTCAAGAGGGGAAGGGAGCCCACAGAGCTGCCCGTCTGACCCCAACCCTCCGCACACGCGGGGCTGGCAGTGCTGCCCGGGGTCGTGCCGCATGCAGAGGCTGCTGCACCACTCTTGGGGTGCACGCGGCCGGGGGCAGCTCAGCGCAAAGCACCCATCTGCAGGGTGCCAGCAGACGCGTGCACTGGCATCCTGCCCTCAAGCCCAGGCTGTGGCACACTGGGGCACCGAACAGCTGCAGCTGCTCACCGAGACCTGGTTTGCCCTCAGCCAGCGGCAGACAGGGGTGAGAGGGTGGGAAGGGGCAGCCCACCGGGCTCCTGCACAGGCATTACGTTTTCAAGTCTCTTCTTGTTCACAGCCTCCCCTCCCCTGTGGGTCTCCTCGCTGACCACCAAGCACTGCAGGTCGGGGTCTGTGACCGAGGGGCCATAGGGGTCAGCCAGGGGCACGATGTCGTAACGCAGCGAGGGCTTCACATCCTCCAGGAACTCGCGCAGCTTCGCCACTCGCAGCTCGTACGGCTCGATCAGCTCTGTCAGGACCTTGTCTGCTGGGCACCAGGAGGGTGGAGAAGCAAGAGAGCATCTGTTTAGCAACGTGCAGCTCCCAGAGCGGCGGTGAAGAGTGACGGAAAAGCAGGACCGGGATATGGAGACAAAACCCGTCCATGACTTTGGGAGGCTGCCTCCTCTGGCTCCCCTTGCCCCTGCTGCACCCTCAGCTCCGCATCTGCGTGCCTCGCTCGCTGGCGTGGATGGGGTGCTGGGTCCCCACCGTCACCCTGCCTGGACAGCATCACCCTGGGCGCTTTGGGTGCATGGCTACCAGGACCCCATGCAACACTGGGCCCCCGGACCGCCGGCCGTGGCGCTGGCCCCTCTCACCGCCCTGTCAGGGTCAGCACCGGGCTGAC